ACTAATTGCTCTTTAGCTGTCTGTCATATCTGAGTGGCCAAAGGAACTTGGGTGTTTCTGAATTAGTCTTTCCATTCACTCAGTGCATATTATCTTCCTTTATGCCTATCAGCTACCTGGCTTTATCAGCTGGGGTTATCTTAACCCATACCACTGGGGGTTTTCTGATCAGTGCTGAAAGAAAATAAAATGAGCTAGTTAAGCAGAATCCTTAGTGACAACTGAAACTTTTACCCTTTTTTAAAAAGGACAACCTCTTTAGTAAAGAGGAAAGTATGTGTATCATCTTCCAACAGCCTGGAGTTACAGTCAGACCACGTCATTAGTCAAGAAGGGTTTACCAAGGGAAGCCTATTTCTCACATTACTTATGGAACGATTTTTTTCCTCAATTTTTCATTTGACAGATAGAGTTAGTGAGAGAGAGAGAGATAGAAAGGTCTTCCTTCTGTTGGTTCACCCCCAAAATGGCTGCTACAGCCAGAGCTACGCCGATCCGAAGCCAGGAGCTTCCTCCTGGTCTCCCATGTGGGTGCAGGGCCCAAGGATTTGGGCCATCCTCCACTGCCTTCCTGGGCCACAGCAGAGAGCTGGAGTGGAAGAGGAGCAACCAGGACAGAACCGGCACCCATATGGGATGCTGGTGGAGGATTAACCAAGTGAACCATGGCACAGGCCTCTTTTCTCAATTCTTAAGTGTATCTGTCCTCCAACAGAAATTCAATTACTAATATTTCAAAGTACTTTTTTATATAAATCTTTCATTTAATAAATATAAATTTCTTAAGTACAACTTTTGGATTATAGAGGTTCTTCCCCGTGTACCCACCCTCACACCCCTAAACCGTCCCACCTCCTACTCCATCTCCCATCCCATTCTTCATTAAAATTCATTTTCAATTATCTTAGTATAGAGTTGATCTTTTGTATATAAAGATTTTTGAAAAGTTTGCACCTACACAGACAAAGTATAAAGTACTGTTTGAAGACTAGTTTTACCATTAATTCTCAGTACAACACATTAAGGACAGAGGTCCTACATGGGGATTAAGTGCACAGTGACTCCTGTTTGATTTAGCAATTGACACTCTTATTTATGATGTCAGTGATCACCTGAGGCTCTTGTCATGAGCTGCCAAGGTTATGGAAGCCTCTTGAGTCCACAAACTCCAACCTTATTTAGACAGGGCCATAAGCAAAGTGGAAGTTCTTGCCTCCCTTCAGAGAAAGGTACCTCCTTCTTTGATGGCCCCTTCTTTCCACCAGGATCTCACTCAGAAATCTTTCATTTAGGTCACTTTTTGCCATAGTGTCTTGGCTTTCCATGCCTGAAATGCTCTCATGGGATTTTTAGCCAGATCAGGGCTGATTCTGAGGCCAGAGTGCTATTTAGGGCATCTGCCATTCTATGAGTGTGCTGTATAGCCTGCTTCCCATGTTTAATCATTCTCTTCTTTTTAATTCTATCAGTTATTATTTGCAGACACTTGTCTTATTTATGTGATTCCTTTGACAATCCTATCTTTATGATCAATTATGAACTTAAACTGATTGCTTAACTAGTAAGATGGCATTGGTACCTGCCAACTTAATGGGATTTGGAGTTCCATGGCAAGTTTTTAGCTTTACCCTTAGGGGTAAGTCTGAGGGAATGTATGCTGAACTGTACATCTCCCTCTCTATTACACTCATTTTTTAAAAGATTTATTTGAAAGTCAGGCAGAGAGAGAGAGGAGAGAGAGAGAGAGGTCTTCCATCCAATGGTTCACTCCCCAGTTGGCCACAATGGCCGGAGCTGCACCAATCCAAAGCCAGGAGCTTCTTCTGGGTCTCCCATGTGCGTGTGGGGGCCCAAGGACTTGGGCCATCCTCTACTGCTTTCCCAGGCCATAGCAGAGAGCTGGATGGGAAGAGGAGCAGCCAGGACTAGAACTGGTGCCTATATGGGATGCTGGTGCTTCAGGCTAGGGCATTAACCTGCTGTGCCACAGCACCGGCCCCTCCACTCTTATTTTTAACAGGGATCAATTTTCAGTTGTATTTAAACACCTAAGAATAATTCTGTGTTAAAGAGTTCAACCAATGGTATTGAGTATAAAAAGAAAATACTAATAAAGTAGTAAGCTGTTCTTCGACAGTCAGGACAAGGGCTGATCAAGTCATTGCTTCTCATAGTGTCAGTTTCACTTCTACAGGTTTCCTTTTAGGTGCTCAGTTGTCACAGATCAAGGAGAACATATGATATTTGTATGGGACTGGCTTAGTTCACTCAACGTGATATTTTCCAGGTTCCTCCATTTTGTTGCAAATGACCAGACCTCATTTTTTTAACCACTGTGTAGTAGTCCATAATTTCTTTATCCAGTATTCCATTTATGGGTATTTATGTTGATTCCATGTCTTAGCTGTTATAAATTGAGCTGCAATAAACATTGAGGTGCAGATAGCTCTTTTATTTGCCAATTTATTTTTCCCTTGGGTAAATTCCAAGGAGAGGGATGGCTGGGTCATATGGTAGGGCTATATTCAGATTTCTGAGGTATCTCCAAACTGTCTTCCATAGTGGCTTTACCAGTTTGCATTCCCACCAACAGTGGATTAGTGTGCCTTTTTCCCCACATCCTTGCCGGCATCTGTTGGTTGATTTCTGTATGAAAACCATTCTAACCGGGATGAGGCAAAACCTCATTTTGGTTTTGATTTACATTTCCCTGACGACTAGTGATCCTGAACATTTTTTCATGTGTCTGTTGGCCATTTGGATTTCCTCTTTTGAAAAATGTTTGTTTAGGTCCTTGGCCCATCTCTTAAGTGGGTTATTTGTTTTGTTGTGGAGTTTCTTGATCTCTTTGTAGATTCTGGTTATTAATCCTTTATCAGTTGTTGCAAATATTTTTCCCATTCTGTTGGTTGCCTCTTCACTTTCCTGTTTCTTTTGAAGTACAAAAATACTCTTAATAGATGAGTCTACCAAGTTTAATTAAATCCAGTAGATGTAAATGATGTGTAGATTTGGATATGGCCAAGTACATGGAATTAGAAGTTGTTTAATATCAAATTTCTCAGTAATGAAATCCAAATTAATACTTACATCTTAGTAGTTAAGTGAAGGGCATCCAGCCACTTCTTTTCACCCCCTTCAATTATGATGAACTAAGAAAACAGCAGGTAGCACTCTTACATATAGAATAAGAAAGGTTTATTTGAGCTGAGCTAGCCCACTACTCCATTAGAATCTGCGTCTCTAAAGTTCTCTTTGTCCTGGCCAGGGAGAAGTAGCTCAGGAGGAACTGTTTCTATCAGAGCCTTCACAAGACTGAGCAGGGCTTCCTTGGGAACTAGGAAGCCATTGTGTTCTGTGGGTGTCTATGCAGGAAGAGGGTGCAGAAGGAACCCAGCTCTCCACAACTGTCCCTGTGACCCCTGGGCGTCCCCAGCTCCCATCACGGCCCCCTGTTCTGCTTCCTTTAATACCCATTCCTTTTCTGTCCTTTCAGTGGGTAATAGTGCCCCTGTGAGCTGGCCAACTTTCACTGCCTTAGAAATCAGAATTCAGCTTTCAACTAAGCCTAGCTGCAAGTTACTACTTTTTGCTTACTGTTAACTTTTTGTTACACTCAGAATGTATAGTTGATAATATTTAGAAAAACATTTAGTGAATTTAAGAGCTACCTGTTTGGAAGCAGTTTTTTTTTTTAATTTGTTTATTTGAAAGTCAGAGTTACACAGAGAAAGGAGAGGCAGAGAGAGAAAGAGAGAGAGAGAGAGAGAGAGAGAGAGAGAGAGAGGTGTCTTCCATCCGATGGCTTACTCCCCAATTGGCCACAACGGCTGGAACTGCACCAATCTGAAGCCAGGAGATTCTTCTGGGTCTCCCACGCGGGTGCAGGGGCCCAAGGACTTGGGCCATCCTCTGCTGCTTTCCCAGGCCTTAGCAGAGAGCTGGATTGGAAGTGGAGCAGCTGGGTCTCAAACCAGTGCTCATATGGGATGCTGGTGCTTCAGGCCAGGGCATTAACCCTCTGCATCACAGCGCTGGCCCCGAAACAACAGTTCTTTAAATGAACCATTGCATGTGTGTATGTACATTTTTATAGTTTTATCCTCATTATACTCCTATGAGATAGGGCTATTTTGCATATTTCAGATGATGAAACAAATGTAAGGAGAGACAGTAGCTTTCCTATGATATAGATCTCGAATGAGGAAGAAGTACTCAAGCACATGTCAGTAGCCATCCTCCTGAGCAGGTTCTTTTCCAGCAAGATGAGTGAACACAGCTTCAGTGCTGGAAGAGTGACAGATCTTCCCTCTAGGTGTGTGACTGAAGTGGTGATTCAGGTTTCCAAAAATCATCCCCATCACTATACTTTCCAAAATACTTGCCTATTATAACTATTCCTTTTCAAAGGCTCTCGGTGGCCAGTCATGCTGTATTGTCCAACTGGATAGAAAAGAAATTTATTGTGGCTCTTTTTGATCCATTTTTCATTATGGACTGAATTACAACTGAAAAACATTCTAGTTGTGTATGGCTTTATGTGACTCAAGAAGATAGATTACAGGTAGAGTTTCAGTTTTGGAATTGCCCACCATGGTGAGAGGTTCGCTGGCTAGAGGAGGGCCACTGGTTGTCCCAGGCCAACTTGAGAGAATGCTGATTCTGGCTACAGTGTTGGCTCTAACCTACAGGACAATTCCTATTGCCTTATATTCCATGACAATTGTTAGCGATGCCCAGTGAAGCTTTCTTTACAGCAGCATGGGCCTTTGCAGTTAGAATAATTGGACTCCAGGATTTCAGCCTGTTTTATATATCTAATACATATCTATATCTATCTATATATATATATAAACAGAGGAGCAGGCCCCATAGGATTTATTGCATAATATAATAGTAATTAAAATAAAGACCAGTGGCTGTTGTGGCAGCTGAGGTTGTTAAGAGCTGGGTGGCTCAGCCTACGTTCCTTAATTTACTGTGATTTCCTGTTTTTCTAGGGTGACAGAGAAGCTGAGCTGGGGCTGCCCTTTTCTCCTCTGTGTGACCGGAAGTCGACCATGGTTGCTCAGTCACAAGTAGGTACGTGTTTGCCAACCCCTGAGCTGGGCTGCTGGATGGGAAGTCTGTAGATGCAAGCTCAGTTGCTCTCAATGACTGTTTGCCTGGGAAACTGGCTCCAATCTGTGTTCATAGCTTTGGCCCATTGGGTTGATAGAGTCACACTCGCCATTCTTCCCGGAACGTGGCTGGTTTGTGAGAAGGTTACCCATCATTCCCTGCTGAAAGACAGCGTCTCAGCTTTCTAAGATGACAAGTACTCTTGGTAGTATGCATGTTCTGGTTCAAATTTTCCATTCTGTGTGGCATTTTCAGTAGTTGCCATGGCATTTCTCCTTGTCGATGCTTCTTAGCCCTATTTTCAGGACAGCTCATTTCCAGGATGACCCTACTTTCAGGATTGGCTCTTTTAAAAAGGAAGGAAGGAAACATTCTAAAAGACTTTTCTGGGGGGGCAATAACTTTTTGCCAATTACAATAATATATATGCATTGCATAAATCCAAGGTTATGAGGGTACAATGTCACAGTTAAATATCAGTGATCTCCATCTTTAAGGACTCAAATTATTTGTAAAGTTTAGTAACGATTTGATTTTTCTGCCATAGTTTTGTTTGCTTTTGGATGGAACAGCACACCAGGCAGAACGGGAGGCAAAAACAAAGTGGGGAAATTTAAAAATTGCCTCATATGGTCAGGGAATTCTAAAGAATTTTGTATGGCAGGAACAGGATGTGATGCGACATTTCTCAGGAAAATCAGACCTAGATTTTATGTTGTGTTAGTAGAATGAATTTCTATTTCCCTGAAGGAAATGAGACATATGAAGAATTTCGTGCAAGGCTGGAAAACATGAATTCACCTTTTAGCCTGTGGGCTCAGTAGTAGCCACCACCTGTTCTTGTAAAGTTTGCTAGAACACAAGTAAGTCCATTCATTTCCATGTTGTCTAAGGTTGTTCTTGCATTGGAACAGAGTCATCTGATAGTGGTAAAGTGACCTGCAGAGTCTAAAATAACTATGAGATCCTTTACATCAAAGTTTTCTACCCCTGTTGAAGATTTCTATGCTGGTGGCTAAGGGGATTGACTGGAGAGTCAAGGAATCCAGCTGGGTGTCTCCTGAAGGATTCCAGGGAAAAAAGACAGTGAATGTCAGAGCCAAGACAGCAGCAGACACGCTGCAGGAGGGAGGAGGGCATGGAAGGTGTGAAGGATTTGGCAGGCTGCAAAGGAAAGGTCAAGGCAGGATTTAGATTAAGAGGTTGGGCCACAATCCCATTTATAAGAATTGTGGGTAGGACTGATGAGTTAGTTCTGGTTTGGATGTGTTAACTTTACCTTGGGAGAGAAAAAGGTGAAGATGGTGTCAACACTTAGTTCCCAGCTCAGAATTATACTACAATTATCCTCCCAACAAGCTTGACAATCACTATTTCCCTTACCATTGGTATCCGGTTGAGACAGTTCTTGTTTTGTCAACTCCTGTGTCTTTTCACATCCTTCACTGAATTAAATGTTACTATCAGCCCACCTACTGTTGTGAAAGCAACCCAAATATGTGTTCATAGGTTTCCGAACAGCCTTCCGATGGGGGTAGACAGTACTTCCTTTGGTATTTAGCTTCCGACTTTCTTGTTGCCATGCAATCAGCTACCACCATCCCCAGGAACTTCATCTCGCCCATTTTAGCCAGTTGTGTCACACAGTAGAGACACTCACTCTAGCCCACCTTCAACTTTATCTCTGGGGATCTCAAAGGGATAGTTCCAGATATGAGTCCTCTCCCATTATCTGATCTTTTTCTTCCAACTTTGTGTGCCTTTCCTACCTGGTTGTGTCTTCGATCTGCTGACTGCAAACTCAGCTCATCACCTTTCCCCCTGCCACATTTTCCTAGTTTGTTGTTGGAGCTTCCGATAAAGCTCACTAAGAGGCAGCCCCACCCCTGTTCCATAGATATTTGTGCCTCATTTGCATTCCTACCTGACTTACCCTTAGTGCTAGTCCCCTCCCTTCCTTTTGGCTATTGTAATAACTTGGTTTTTCCATCTTCAACCCCTCCTGCTTCCTTTCCTATACATCTTTCCCAATTAACTTTCTCAAAGAACATTAAAAAATTACAATGCTGCCCAGACATCCTCAGAAGCCTCTAGTGCTTCTTTAAATGCTAACTCCTTAGCCTGGTGCTTAGGAACATCACTCCCTGAACTGCAGTAGTGATCTGTCTTCCAAAACTTTTTCCAGAGTCCAGGAGAACCCTTAGCCCCAGTCATTGCTGAGACAACTTGTTGTTTCCCATCTCTGTCATTGCACTTAGTCCATGTCCTTCACCTGGAGTGAGATGTCTTCCCTACCCATGCCCCAGAGGCTCAATTCGAACATCAGTCTCTATTCAGCCATGCTGCGGCCTCTCAGTGGAGGGAAATATTCTCACCGAGCTTCCTGTGGCCTCCGTCTGGGCTGCTCTGGCCTTCCATGTGCTCCAGGTGTCGTTTTGTGATCATTTCATCTCTCCTGTGGGTTCCTTGATGGCAGGCAAGGTGTGTTAGTCATAGCCAGATCCTTTCATGGTTACCTAGTGAGGGTTACACATGCGTCTTTTAAACACTTCTTTGAGTTAGCTATTGAAGAGTCATCTAAGACACAGAGCCAATTCATGATGTCCATATCAGAGAATGTACTAATCGAGTACGACTGACAGAGTCTGGCCTGGGGTGCCTGTGCAGGTGGATTTTAAAAGGAAGAAGAGTCCCACTGGTGTATGTGTGTGTTTTTTGTTTTTTGTTTTTTTTTTTTTTTTTGACAGGCAGAGTGGACAGTGAGAGAGAGACACAGAGAGAAAGGTCTTCCTTTTGCCGTTGGTTCACCCTCCAATGGCCGCCGCACTGCAGCTGGCGCACCACGCTAATCCAAAGGCAGGAGCCAGGTGCTTCTCCTGGTCTCCCATGGGGTGCAGGGCCCAAGCACTTGGGCCATCCTCCACTGCCCTCCCGGGCCACAGCAGAGAACTGGCCTGGAAGAGGGGTAACCGGGACAGAATCCAGCGCCCCGACCGGGACTAGAACCCGGTGTGCCGGTGCCGCAGGTGGAGGATTAGCCTAGTGAGCCGTGGCGCCGGCCGCCCCACTGGTGTTTTACGGGGATTATCTGCACAGGCCCAGTCGAGCTGTATTTGTTTCTCTGCAGGTTTCATCGACTTCATCGTGGAGCCCACCTTCACTGTGCTCACAGACATGACTGAGAAGATTGTGAGTCCGTTAATTGACGAGACATCCCAAACCAGTGGGACGGGGCAGAGACGTTCAAGGTCAGTGGAAGAGTCTGATGGCTAGAGACCGGTCTGTCTGTGGGGATAGAATTCTCCTCTTGGTGGGGATTGGGGTAGGTTTCACACTGATACTTTCTTTCCTCCTTCATACCAGACTAGTCCGTCTCTCTCCTTTTCTCAGAGGAGTTGAAGTTGTGCTATCTGGACTCTACAGGCTGGGAATATGGGGAACACAGAGTTCAAATCATGCCCTGTGTGTGCCCGGTGCCCTCCTACCTCTCCACCCCGTTCTCTCCTAGACTTCATTTACAGCAATGCCAGTCTCTTCCCATTTACCCTCTGTGACAGTCTCTGCTCCCGAATCTACAAAAAAAGACAACACCACTCAGTTAGTACAGGAAATGCATCTTTCATTTTTAGGTTACCAAAGAGAATGAAAGAAATGAACCTAAATGTTGATCACTTTTTGTTGTTGCCATCACTGTATCGAGCCTAGATCAATAAGGAGTTCAGGCTCTGGAACCAGACTGCCAGCATTAAAAATCCTGAGCCCTCATTTGCTAACTGTGCCACTGCAGCAAACTTCCTCAGTTAGCCTTCTGAGAAAGTGTGCACTGTATACACATAGGTTGCTGGGAGGCTTAGGTGAGTTATTCAATATATAAAAACCCTTAGAACAAGGTCTGGCATAGAGGAAGGCTAAATAAACCTGGCACATGGTGTTTGTTAGTACATTAGTAATATTATTGCTTTGCTACTATTGCTAACTCTGCTACTATTACTGCCATTACTACTGTTATTACTATTACTAGTCATCACTCATGCAAAACCTTGGGCTTTGTCATGAAGGAGAAAGAATGTGGGAAGATGAAAGAGAAGCAAACAGTGGGGAGAGAAGGGAACGCAAGAAGAACGTTAGGACAGTGACACCCCAGGGATGCTGAAGATGGATGGACCCTTGAGGTTGCTTATGAAGACAGAAGCCCTCTGCCCAAATCCCACCACCCCAAAGCTCTTGCCTTGTTGCCTTCCTGGTCTGTGGATTTTCATTCATGTCAGTCACTGAAGCCTGTAGAAGCCTGAGACACTTTGTCAGTGAGGATGGTATTTTCTGGTATTAGCAGTTGCCCATGTTTGAAGCATAAAGCAGTATTCACATGAAGTAGTATCTTTGGCATCACCTGATCTTCAAGTTAGCTGTACTTTTCCATCTTCCCCCAAGTAACCACGCTCCACCAGAAACCTTTAAGGCATTCAAATTTCATGATTTTAAAGATACAAATTTAGCAACATAGTGATTCTTTCTACCCTATCTGCCCTCCCATCCTTCTTCCTCCTCCCTCTCCTATTCTCATTCTTAATTTTACTAAGATCTGTTTTTCAGTTAACTTTATACATAAGGTTAGTTCTATACTAGGTAAAGCATTCAACAAACAGTATAGAAGAAAACTTCAACAGAGCAGACAAGGGCTATTCAAACTCATTGCATCGTAAAGTGTCAATTTCACTTCTATACATTAAGATTTATTTATTTGAAAGTTAGAGTTACACAGAGAAGGAGAGGCAGAGAGAGAGAGAGAGAGGTCTTCCATCTGCTGGTTCACTCTCCAGTTGACTGCAACAACCGGAGCTGAGCTGATCCAAAGCCAGGAACTTCTTCCAGGTCTCCCATGTGGGTGCAGGGGCCCAAGGACCTGGGCCATGTTCTACTGCTTTCCCAGGCCACAGCAGAAAGGTGGATTGGAAGTGGAGCAGCTGGGACTAGAACCAGCGCCCATATGGGATGCTGGCACTTCAGGCGGCAGCTTTTACCTGCCATGCCATAGCGCAGGCTCTTATATTACCTTTTAGGTTCTCTGTTAGCTACCACAGATCAAGAGGAACATATGGTATTTGTCCTTTTGGGATTGGCTTATTTCACTAATTATAACGGTTTCCAGTTGCATCCATTTTGCCCCAGCAACTTTTAAGTAACCACTACCTCTCTCCTGCATTTAGGGAGCTTAGGTTCAGAGGGAAGGTAGAACTGGAGAGAAAGAGAATCAAGTTGCTGGGCAACTTGGCAAGATGGTCAGTGTAGGAACAGGTAGGTGTTCTGTGAAACAAGTAGGAGTCCAAGTTCAAATTCATTAGTTTCAGAGACTAGAACATTCACAAGAGAGGATTGTAAGTATTGGAACAAAGAAGAAAACAAATGGAAGGAAAATATAAGAAATACTGAAGCTCATAGAAAAATATAAGGAATACAGGCTACAATCTTGATAATTTTCCTACTGAGAATATAGAATTTTCCACCTGTGTGACATATGGAAGATAGGGTAATTATAAATGCAAGACCCAGGAGTTTCATAATAACCTGATGAGTACTAAGCACTCCTCTCGGGGACTTGCTCGTTGGCCAACATTTTTGCTAAGACTAACTTTCCCTTTTGGAATGATTTCTTTTCCTTCCAGTTTAAACAGCATCAGCTCAGATGCAAAGCGATCAGCCGTGAAGAGCTCTGGGTCGGAAGGAAGTGCCCCCATCAACAGTTCTGTCATCCCTGTCGACTATAAGAGCTTTAAAGCCACTTGGACGGAGGTGGTGCACATCAATCGGGAGCGATGGAGGGCCAAGGTGCCCAAAGGTAATCTGTACTACTGGGGTCTTCCAGAGACTTGTCCAGGCCAACTCAACCATCATTCATAAAATGAGAGATTGCTTTCCAATTTGTAGGTGTTTCAAATCAGACAGTTGCTGAGGATGCAGATTTTAATGGCTGAATACTGAAATCTGCCATCCTTTGATCCTCATGTATCTGATACGCAGTGCATGGCAGAATCTGGCAGCCCCCTGGGCTTCTTCCCTTTGTGCTATGTGACTGCTTCTGCTGCGAGGATTCTGCAGGGTGTTGGGATTACTCTTTCTTGGCTTCTGCTAGATGACCTTATGTCATGTGGCATAGCTATGAGGCCTTTATTTCTTCTTCCACCTAAGTAAAGCCTGCCAATAGCCACCTTAGCTATTATGTTGGAATACAAGAACCTACTTCCTTACTTGCATTTTTATCTTCCCTTCATAGTCACAATTTCCTGTCACTCATTGTTTGGACCATGGAACTGATCTTGTGAGTTGATTCTAACTTCCAAGTAAAAAATTAAATTCCCTGAAGTGAGCATTTTCTGGTTTTCAGACAAGTCATGGCTCTTGGTGCTATAAACAGAAAGAGATGGAAATCTTGTTTCTTGGAAACAAACTCATTTGTTCATCCATTCATGTGTCTGAGTGTGTATAACATGATCAGAACATACTACACTGGGGCTGGTGCCATGGCTCACTTGGTTAATCCTCCGCCTGCGGTGCTGGCATCCCATATGGGCACCGGGTTCTATCCCGGTTCCTCCTCTTCCACTCCAGCTCTCTGCTGTGGCCTGGGAAGGCAGTGGAGGATGGCCCAAGTGCTTGGGCCCCTGCACCTGCGTGGGAGACCAGGAGAAAGCACCTGGCTCCTGGCTTTGGATTGGCACAGTGCACTGGCCGTAGCAACCATTTGGGGGGTGAACCAACGGAAGGAAGACCTTTCTCTCTCTCTCTCTCACTGTCTAACTCTGCTTGTCAAAAAAAAAAAAAACACAACAACAACAACACACTACGCGACCATATTTGTGTTTTAGGTAGAGAGACTATGCATGCAGATAGCATGAACCTGAGATAAGAGGTATGAGGTTGTGATACCTGTTTCCAGGGAGGGACACAGATGTGGGTGGCCTTGGGGCTCAGTGAAGAGACTGATCCCAGAGGACTCTGGAGGCAAGCCGGCAGTAACCATCGGCTTTTGATAATATCCCAGGCCCATTCTGATAGTTCTCTCCCCTCAGCACTGGGCACAGAATAAGTAACAGACATCCTCCTCCCAGCTCACTCTTGTAGTAGGAGGCGATATATTACTAGAGACTCATTCAAAGAGTAAAAGTTCACTCCAGGCCTTGTACTTGTTAGCAGCCCCAAGCAGTCCTGAGCCCCACACACAGAGTCAAAAGGGACTTTCTCCCAAAACAAAGCCCTATGCTTTCATCATCCTGGTGTCAGACAGGTGGAAATGGTAGAGTGGGAAGTCTGTTTTCTGTTGCTCTAACTAAATTCCTGAGCCAGATACTTGATATAGAAGATTTATTTTACTTTTGCTCCCGGTCCTGCAGTCTGGGACACCCAAGAGCGTGGTGCTAGCATCAGCTCGGGGCCTTCCCATCATGGCAGAGGGCATCCCCTGGCCAGAGTGCAAGTGTGTGTTCCTTCTTATAAAGCCACGGACCCCATCTCCCTTCCCCAACCCTCTGCTGCTCCCTGCTGATCTTTCCTAGTCCTAATTACCTTGCAGAGTGTCTACCAACCACCTAAGTGTGAATTTGGGGATGAAGTTTCCCCACATGTGAAGTCTGGGGTTCACATCCAAGGGCAGGGAGAAGGGCACAGGCTGGCAGTCTGGGACCATGTACGTGGGCGTCTGCTTCTTGTGCAGGAGATGCAGCCTCATTGTTGGGGTTATTCAGAGAAACGGCGTTGTGACTGCTCCACAAACTCCTATCCAAGCAGCTGTTCTCTCCAGGCAAGTCAAAGGATTTATGTTGATGGTACTCTTGAGGCATAACTGGACGCTTATCATTTCAGGACAGATGTTGCACCCTGGGCCATGGAGGGAGCCAACACCTCTTCTATATTTTGAGTGCAAACTCTCACAGTCCATTCAAATGCTTAAAACGTTTAAATCCTCCCCATTGGCAGGCATTGCAAGCAGCAGTGGCAGCTACTTCATCATCTCAAAAGCAGCACACTTATCATCAATTATGCTCATTACATTTGAAAACCTGAGTCCTGACAACATGCAATTTAAAGAGGTACTTCAGAATAATTTGTTTGCAATTATTTGGCTTCCTAAAATTATCTTCTGAAACCAAGAACCCAGGGAAGCATTAGAGGGTTCCTTTACTAAGCGAAGATTTATGCTTTAAAAAGGACAAACTAATAATGTTGAAGTATATTTGGTATGTGGATACTGTTGTGCTTAAGCTTCTCCAGAAGCATAAAAGGACTTGTCCGAGTCCTGCTTGGGGTGTTTGGGCAGGCATCCTGCAGCCAGGACTGGAAGGCTGCCCAATGTTGACCCCTGAAGGTGATGACTTGGGAATGGGAACAGGACCAAGGCACAGAGCCTGACTTATGCATATTTTGTGCGAGCATAATTTGGTTTTTAAGGCAAATTTCGGTTAGTGGCAAAAGGGAGAAATAAATCTCAAGATGCGAGATATTCTTTGGCAAAACCAAGTCAAATCTTTGAGACTCCAGTTTTGGAATGCTAATACATATAACCGAGCTTATGTGAAGACCAAAAGTAATACATGCGAGTACTTCAAAAAAAAGTTTGTGGACATGGAATTAAAAGATAAGTTTATTTTGTTATGAAAAAAAATGAATTCTATGCCTAGGAGGGGTCTTCAAAATTTGTGGAGAATGCCTATTATGAAACCATATTCATGGATTTTTTTTTTTGCACCAAAATAAACTCATCATTTAATTCTATTTTCCCACACACTTTTGGAACTATCCTCATGGGTGAGGCACCGGAAACAGAGCCTGCACATGCTGAATGCCTGATAAATAGTTGCTACCACTGCAACTAATTGGAGGAGAAGATTAGAGGTTATGGTATAGGCATGGCTGTATTGATCATTATTCTGGGTTCTTGCCTCACACAAAGATAAGCCTTCTAAGTGCAGACATTAACAGGCACACAAATAGGAACAGGGTATATTTAGCTGAGACACAACCTGCAAACATGCGTGAATGTGGGTTTTCTGAGAAAAATCTATCGTGATTGGGTCAGAGGAGTGCCTGAAGGGTGGAGGGGAGGAGGAAGAGAGGATACTCCTGGGCAGCACCTGCACCTCCAGCCATGGTCTATGGCAGAGAGAGTCTCCCAGGAATACTGTTGACTGATGAGAAACCTGTTATGCATTTGTGTCGCCATCAGTGGTCAGTTTGATTAGATGACCTCAGGCTGTTTTGCTCATTGCTCTTTATTTCAAGCAAGCTTGCTGTCCATGAGGCACCTGAACATGCATTGTTATTACACCCATTGGAAATGCAATCGATTCAAATGTCTAACCAACCTGATTTACAAAGCTAGCTAGGTCAGAACCTATGCTTAGGGGAGACTAAATATTTTAGAATAGCTTTTAGGAATATTATCTATAGATAAAATTGTACAAGTCTGATCAATACTGATCTATTTTCATTCAGTATTTAACACGTGTTTTCAGCATTTACATTTGTGTTATTAATGCTAAAATATAATGTGTGAAGAGTAAAAATCACTCATGGCCTCTCCAGCAATGCAGAATTATTGAAACTGTTATTCTTTTTAATGTGCTTTACTAAACATATGTAGAAGTAAAAATTTCCCCATTAGTTAGTGTCATAATGTCTTATTCTGCCCCCCCCCTTTTTTTTTTACAGGCAGAGTGGACAGTGAGAGAGAGAGATACAGAGAGAAAGGTCTTCCTTTTGCCGTTGGTTCACCCTCCAATGGCCACCGCGGCCAGCACGCTGCGGCCGGCGCACTGCGCTGATCTGAAGGCAGGAGCCAGGTGCTTCTCCTGGTCTCCCATGGGGTGCAGGGCCCAAACACTTGGGCCATCCTCCACTGCACTCCCGGGCCATAACAGAGAGCTGGCCCGGAAGAGGGACAACCGGGACAGAATCCGGCACCTCAACCAGGACTAGAACCTGGTGTGCCGGCGCTGCAAGGCGGAGGATTAGCCTATTGAGCTGCAGCGCCGGCTTCTATTTCCTCTTTAAACACTTTAGCCTGATACTGAATACTCTGATTTAAGTTTTAGGGAATACATATTTGAACCATTCTATTACTGAGCATTTAGACAACCAGGCCTTCATTATTGCATGGTGTTGTGAACTTGTAGTTGGAAAAATCTTTGAGCCTAACTTCTGTTCCCTAGTTGTAGAGTTCCTTCATCAGTCGACATGAAAACAAAATCCTTGATGTGTGCCATCAAGGAACACACAGGATTCTGAGAATATTGTTTACCCAATCTTCTCTCAGAAATGTAATGAGTTTATCCATTTTCCATTTAGTGAGTGTCTCTTTTTTTCTCCATGAAGATATTTACCTTCTTGGTGGCAATTCATAATAATCCTTTATTGATGATGCTAATTCTTCAAAATATCTTGTAACTTCTACCCTACTCTGTCATACTACCAACTACTGCATTCATTTATGTTTTAAGATATGAAAGGCACAGCCACAGAGAGACGGCGACAGAGGTCTTCCATCCAAATGGCCACAACAGCCAAGTCTGGTCCAGGCTGAAGCCAGGAGTGAGGAACTCCATCCTGGTTTCCCAACACGAGTGGTAGGGGTCCAATGACTTGGGTCATCTTCTGCTGCCTTCCCAAGTGAATTGCAAGCATAGCAACTGGGATTTGAATTGGCACTCCAATTTGGGATGCTGGTATCACAGTTGGCAGCTTAACTCACACTATAATGCTAGCCCCAAGCTTTTAATATTAACTTTTAGTCAGCTAGACCACTACTTTAAGATGTTAAGTTTCTGTCGAACACCTTAACTAGAAACACCTTCTATTATTCTAGTTTGATACTTGCCTATTCAAAATTTGTATGTAATATTTTTTACCTCAGTTTATTTTTCTCTTCACCACTCCATGTTCCCCAGGAGGTATTTAAGTAGACATTTCAGAAAGTTTTATCAAGGAATAACTAGGTCAATGCCATTTTTGACTAGGAGCCTATGGTTTCAAAATAGTGAGGAAATCAATGCATGTCTGAGACTATACACATATTCAATGTGGGACAGAACCAAGGTTTTACTAGGAGGAATACAATTTGTAGGCTTCGAGGACTGTACTCCACCCTAACTCTTCTGCTGCTTGTTATTGGCCATTTTCATATCGAGTTGTATCACTATGGGTAGTTTGAAATGAGAATCAAAATGTCATAGAATTGTACTATAGTATTTGCTTTCTACTATCCTGCAAGTGCCAAGGACACTAAACTGAAGACCCAAAAGGTTGATCTTCAGTGGACGTGCCATCATTAGCATGTCCAAGTTAGTTGTTCTCACCTGCTTTTTCCTCACTGGAGGAAAATTGTATCTGTGCTAATAACATCACCCTGAAAGCATAAGGAAATATGATTCTACTGGAAAAGACCTACTTCTTGTTGACAGATTTCTCTTTGTCTGCTTGTTTATATACTCTTTGGGTACTGGCTGATACTCAGTAGGACCTGAGAGTTTGTATAAGTTCTGTATTTTATGCTGGTGCAGACTGCTGGAAAAGGGGTATCTCCAGTTAAGGTCACATTGGCAGAAAGGCTAAGTCACTCCATAGTCAACTCAGACTTCATGGCTTGTCGCTCCCCGTCTTCGTGGAGGAACGACACAGGACCCTGCGTTGTTCTTTCGTCTGCTCGGCCCTCCCCGGGTTTGCTGCTGGTTCTTCCCGGGTTGGTTACCGACCCTTCCACCTCCGTGGAAGGGCGGTTCCCCCTAGCCACTTTCCCCACTTCCGCGGGGGAGCGGCACACCGCCGGCCGGCTCTCTCAGGGGCTGCACAGGTGTTCCTTCAGATAGATGTTCCCCTTAGATGTTCCTGGTGCATGTTGTCTCTCTCCTCCTTTATAGTCCTTTTCCACCAATCCCAACTCTGCTACCCACAACGCCGAGTACGCTACTCTCCTCCAATCAGGAGCAGGTCCTGCAGTTTATTGGTTGAACTGGAGGCAGCTGTGTAGAAGCTGTTTCTCCCTTCTCAGCGCCATATTGTGGGAGAGCAGATGCATAGAATAAGTCTTAATTCCAGTAACTTAGTCTAGTCCGAGTTGCTCCCCACAATGGCTGTGTTTTGTGTGCCAGTTGCTATGCCAAGCATGGAATTCAGGGGTGGACACTAAAGAAGGAAGGTCAGAAGTCTGGAGGAAAACCTAGAGACCTTGTGAAGCCCCGTACTCATTATATTTCTGAGAGAAGATTGGGTAAACAATGTTCTCACACTTGGGTCAGCCACTTCAGAGATACAAGGTAGAGGTGGAAGTCAAGTTGAAGAACATTGCAGAACCACCTGCTGTAGTGCAACTATTGCAAAGAAATGATTCAGCCAGTGAGGCAGGCTTGTGTAGGCCTGGATCAGGATGCCATCAGAACTGTCACTCATTTAAACATTAATTGCCTGGTATCAGTGCAACTGAACAAAATCAAATTTGTTTCTGAAATACTACCCCCCTCCAGGTTTTTTGCCAGATTCCCCATGGAAAATTGGTCTGACTCAGTTGTCAGATAAATTCTTCTTGCTCAGATCATTTTATGCTCTTTTGTAGCAAACCAGAATTTAACGGCTTCAGTTTTTATGCTGGTTGTTTTTAATGTGGAGCTATTTTGAATGTTGAAAGCTTGCCATGGATTCAGTAGGAATTCTGTGAAGGTGTTAGCCATCATTCTCCAACAGCAAGTTTTGAATATGAACACATTCTCCTCCCCCTTGCCTCAATTTTCCTCTCTGTGCAATCAGAAGAGCTTTTTATTGACCTATACTATCAGTTAAAGAGACTATCATGGCCGGCGCCACGGCTCAATAGGCTAATCCTCTGCCTGCGGCACCAGCACACCAGGTTCTAGTCCCGGTCGGGGCGCCGCATTCTGTCCCGGTTGCCTCTCTTCCAGGCCAGCTCTCTGTTATGGCCCGGGAGTGCAGTGGAGGATGGCCCAAGTGCTTGAGCCCTGCACCCCATGGGAGACCAGGAGAGGCACCTGGCTCCTGGCTTTGGATCAGCATGATGCACTGGCTGCAGCGCGCCGGCCGTGGCAGCCATTGGGGGGTGAACCAATGGCAAAAGGAAGACCTTTCTCTGTTTCTCTCACTGTCCACTCTGCCTGTCAAAAAAAAAAAAAAAAAGACTATCATTTATCAGATGGTTTACTCTTTCAGAACAGGACCTGAGAGTTTGTGTAAGTTCTGTATTTTATGCTGGTGCAGACTACTGGAAAAGGGGTATCTCCAGTTAAGGTCACGTTGGCAGAAAGGCTAAGTCACTCCATAGTCAACTCAGACTTCATGGCTGTGTTTTGTGTGCCAGTTGCTATGCCAAGCATGGAATTCAGGGGAGGACACTAAAGAAGGAAGGTCAGAAGTCTGGAAGAAAACCTAGAGACCTTGTGAAGCCCCAGAGTCTGCTGCAAGTGCTGTCTTGCCACCTTCTTTGGAAGGGAGTTCTTCATTCGTCAGTTGTATTTTTTGATAAAAGTCAGACTATATCTAATATACACACAGTTATGTTACTGGTAAGGAAATCTCTCATCTTTCCAATGTAAATTAGAAATACATCCTGTTGGGAAGGAGACGGTCATGGAATACTGAGTGGCAAACAGTTAACATTTAGATCAGTGCTTGTGCTTCTCAGCCATGAGTGCATGTTAAAGTCACCTGGGAAACACTGCATCTCTTATTTTTGGCCCCCTCTCTCCAGAATCTGATTTTCTTGGGGTGAGGACAGGGCATTGGTTCAGGTGGAGGCATGGATAGTCAATGGAAGAATGAAAATTTCATGGTATACTAAGACATCTCAGGTAAGCAACTACAAACGCAAGAGAAGCAAGATGCAGACAGGATGGGCATCCACAACATGTACTCAAGCCTTGGGAATGCATGAACCTAGACCAGATTTGCACTGGGAGCACCTTAGCAGTGGCAATAGAGGAAGCCATAGAATGCATCAACCTCTGGTGCCCAAAGACGAAGCTATAGTCTGAAAGCTGACTGTTTTCAGGACCAAGACTAGCACAAGGAAGTAAAGAGACTGCCAAGAATGCGGTGTGGCAGGTTTGTGCACATCTAGACAAATGCAGCTGTGTTTTCCATCACAGAGCTGGAAGACCTTTTGACTGAATCCAAGGCTATGCGGACTAAATCTGTGTCTTAAGGAGAATTGATCCCTGTCAGGTCTATGTCAACTCTACAGCTCAGCTTTAATCTCACTGCCTTCAAGGCTTTGCAAGATCTCAGCCTCTCCTGCCCCTTGATCATTTGGCCTATCATGCGTCACTTAACTCCTTGCCAAGTTTACCTTGGCCATCCTGGGTAACTCAATGGCCTTTGCATGTTTTAGTTCTCCTCCCTGAAATGCTACTTCTCCAGATGACTGGATGGCAAGCTCTTCCATCACTTGAGACTTGGTCAAACGTCACCTTCTCACAAAAAGGGCTTCTCTGCTTCCTTAATGTCACCTCCCTCTCCTGTGGTGGTCACACCCCATCATTACTGCTCTGCTTTTGCAGAACACTTCACCACCAGAATGGGCTCATTCGTTTCTTGAACGATGGGCTTCTCTAAGTCTGTATTCCTTGCTGCTTGATTCCCAATACTTAAAGTAGTGCTTAACTGTGTAGCTGTTCAAATATTAGTCGAATGAATAAATTAACCAATCTTTTCATAATTGATATTACAAGTTTACTGTGTTTCGTTAAGCACAAAGCCAATCACTTATATCAGCCAAATGCCAACATTCAGGTTTGGAAGTGACGTAATTAACCTTCTTGGCTCAAGTGGAGGACAGAGACCAGGTACCTGGCCAAACTAGAGGTCACTTCTCATCTTGTGGACAATTGACAACTGCACTTTTCCCATAGGCCTTCATTCTCTTCCTTCTTTTACAGTGACCTGAAGATGTACTGTTCTAGTGGTGGTTATGTTCCCTGAACTTGTGTTTTTCAACTTAGGATCGTGTTTTAGCTCACAATCCTAACCACACCTACATAAGGCTATGTTTGCTGCAGCCTTGGTGAAGTGGGCCAATCTGTCCAAGTCTCTGTGTCTTTAAAAATGTTTATTTGAAAGTCGGCATTACAGAGGGAGGGAAAGACAGATCTTCTATACGCTGGCTCATTCCTCCCAAATAAATGCAATGGCCAGGGCTGGGCCAGCCAAAGCCAGGAGCTCCATCTGTGACTCCCATGTGGGTAGCAGGGGACCAAACACTTGGGTCATCTTCTGCTGCTTTTCCCAGATCATTAGCAGGGAGCTGGACCAGAAGTAGAGCAATCTGGACATGAATTGGTTCTCATTTGGGATGCTGGCATCTCAGGTGGCAGCTTTACCCACTAAACCAGTGCTGGCACCCTGAGCCTCAGTTTCCACACTTGTAAAATAGGGCCACAGTAGCAGGAGATAATGATGGAAAGAAATAATCCTTGAAAAACATTTAGCCTACCACCAGGTATGGGAGATATATTTAACAGAAGCTATTATCGTGTTGCCTATTAGAATATTGGTTTATTTTCGTCCTGTCCCCTCTAACTTATTTTCAGAAATGATGGCATCATTAACCTATTTTGTTGATTTCCTAAATATCCATGCTAATCCATTCTGATTTGAAATGACCAAAAATATAACCGCACATTCAGTAGAGACCTTAGGCCATCTTGGGGCATGAGTTCCTAGAACAAAATGATTCTCGGAGACATTTCTGCTAATGGTGTGTCTGGTGTTCTTTTCTCTGCCCTCCCTGTTTGCATGGACACAGAGGAGAAGGCCAAGAAGGAAGCGGAGGAAAAGGCTCGCCTGGCTGAGGAGAAGCAAAAGGAAATGGAAGCCAAAGGCCAGGCTGAAGAGGGCGCATCTGGCAAAGCAGAGAAAAAGACATCTGGGGATGCCAAGAATCAAGGCAGTGGAACTCGCGCAAACAAAACTGACAACCCTCGTGGCAAGAATGCCAAAGCCGAGAAGACCTCGGGAGAAAAGGCACAGAATGGTGAGCACAGGTGTCCTGGTAGCAGGCATTCTGCGTGGCCAGTGTTACAGGGGACACTGGAAAAGCCAGTTCTCCCGGGGAGCGCTCACTGAGCATGGCTTCCTGGTCCTCCAGCTCCCCCCATTGCACTGCACTGGGCCTCGGGACCCTCGGGAATCCCATCAGAAGCAGCCACCCCCTCCCTTGTGCCGCTCTCTATAGAGGGATTTATACCTTTCTAGCCCCTTCCCAGCTGCCCTGTAGACATGCGGCTGTGCTTGTCTCATCTGAAAGAAGTTACAGTCAGTAACCCCTGCCTCGACCTCAGGGCTTGCTGCCCGCGGGGTGAATGGAGAAAATCAGTTTCTCATATTTTAGCCCCTCTCCACTTCCGGAGGACCGGGTCTTAAGTCTGTATGTGTGTATATGTGTATGACTGTGTAGATTAGGGGGAGCAAGCCCTGCAAGTTGTCTGGGACTCGAGGTTCTCTGGGACACAGTGCTTTCTGCTTTAAAGTCAGAAAAGTCACAGGCAAACTGGAGTGAGCTGGTCGCCACAGTGTGCTGGTAGTTCATGTTTTCTTATATCTACTGCTATAGATGTTTATGGGTGAGCAATCTGCCAAGCCCTGTGCTTGGAAATGTGGATTCTGAAATGGAAAAGCCATAGAAAGCCCATGATTGGCCGGCACCACGGTTCACTAGGCTAATCGTCCGCCTTGCGGCGCCAGCACACCAGGTTCTAGTCCCGGTTGTCCCTCTTCCAGGCCAGCTCTCTGCTGTGGCCAGGGAGTGCCGTGGAGGATGGCCCAAGTGCTTGGGCCCTGCAGCCCATGGGAGACCAGGAGAAGCACCTGGCTCCTGCCTTCGGATCAGTGCGATGCGCCGGCCTCAGTGGCCATTGGAGGGTGATCCAATGGCAAAGGAAGACCTTTCTCTGTCTCTCTCACTGTCCACTCTATCAAAAAATAAAAAACAGAAAGCCCATGATCTCCTAGGTGCATAGACAGCTTCACCAGTAACTCTAGGGACATACGGATGAGTAATCTTACTGGCATGGGAGAAGATGCCCAAGGAGAGTGTGCCCAGAAAACGTTAGCTGTGTTGGCACTAGAGAAGATGTCAGAGAAGGTTTCAAGTGGTGTCCGAGCTTGGATTTAAATCAAGTTTGCTGGTCAGTTGGCAGAAAGTCTTCAGCCAGAGAGAACAAGAGGATGAATGCACAATGGTGTGGAATTGGTTCCCTTGTTTCGGGAAGGGTCAGAAGGTTGGAGTCTGGAGCTTCCAAGAGCAAGGTTGTGACCAGGTAGCTGGGTATCCTGACAGCAGACCTGAGCTCAGGTCGTAGCTGTGCCTCTCCACTCTCAGTGGCCTGGGCCAGGTAACACGATCTTGTTGACTGAATACACTGTGTCTAAAATGCATAACCCTTGCTCACACCATGGGCCTCTTCCTAGCCTTTAATCATCAGTGCAAACAGATAGTGACGATGACATAGTGTTCAAGGTCGGTCTCCTTAGCCACAGAGTAGAGGCCCCAAAACCCCAGCTGATGCCCCAAATTAGTTAGTACCAAACCTCATGTGTGCTGTGTTTTCCATGTGCCCTGCAGCATTGCCACATGGTACCAGTTATTTCCAGTTTTATGCCCAGATGCCTTCTTAGTAGCAGTACTCTTGCACTTTGTGGAAATTTTAAAGTAAAGTGAAATTTGAATGAAAGTACTGGGATACTAATACCATGATAGTTGATGCCATAACCAAGATGGCTACTAGGAGGTTAATTGGTAGATAGCATAGTATATACAGCATGGATATGCTGGGCAAAGGGATGGCTTACCTCCTAAGCAGGATGGAGTGAGATTTCATCATACTACTCAGAATGGCACACAATTTAAGGCTAACAAATATTTCTGGAATTTTTCCATTTAATAATTTTGGGGGGCTGGCACTGTGGCACAGTGGGTTAACACCCTGGACTGACGCACTGGCAATCCCATATGGGTGCCAGTTCTAGTCCTGGCTGCTCCTCTTCTGATCCAACTCTCTGCTATTGCTTGGGATAGCAGTATAAGATGGCCCAAGTCCTTGGGCCCCATGGGAGACCCGGAAGAAGCTCCTAGCTCCTGGCTTTGGATCAGTGCAGCTCCGGCCATTGCGGCCATCTAGGGAGTGAACCAGCAGATGGAAGACCTCTCTCTCTATCTCTACCTCTCTCTCTGTAACTCTGCCTTTCAAATAAAATCTTTAAAAAAATTTTGGACCACAGTTGGCCATGACTAACAAGCCACCGAAAGGAAAGCCATGGCTAAGAGGGCAGTACCATACTGAATACATACCAGATGCCATTTTGAGTTCTCTTTGCATAGTCTTTCCTTCACTTGCCTGGAGGCCAAGCAACCTGTGTATTCCACCTGGAGCTATTATATTCAGGAGTCTAGGTAAATGAGAAATGTGTAGAACATGTATAGAACAACACCCTCCAAGTATTTTTACAATTAACTTATCTCAGTTAACCCATGACTACCTTAGGATGTGGGGAAGGGCATCGTCCCAACCAGACATGGACCTAGAATCTACTCTTGACTAGTTTTCTTCATATGCAAGTGCATCTGGGTCTAGAAAAAATATGTTCAATTTAATGACGATTTATGGTACACCTGTTGACGTTTTGGAGTACAAACCAGCCCTTAGTTCCTGTCTTGAGTTCTGAACCAACTGAGAGATAGATGCCAACATGAGAAAGCCAGTGGTGAAGACGTACGATCCACTGAAGCCAGAGTTGAATTGGAGAACATAGACTTGCTCTGCTGAGCACCTGGACTTCTTTATACATCTGCCCTGAAGTGAGCTTACCCTGCCAGACACTGGTAAAGCCAGGCAGGTGCAGGACATGTCTTACCCTAATGCATCATCAAGTTCATTCTGGGATGACAGAAAAGACATCTCTTGTGGAAAACACATCTCAACGACTGATTAAAATGGGTGGTTGGACTCACTTGAGAATACTCAGTCCCTCCTTGACAGATCGCTGCTCTTAGAGGGGAGCACAGACGGGGAGGTTGGAGAGGCAGGACAGATTTTCTTCCTTGTTTTTCTTTGAGTAAAGTGAGCCAATATTTTCAACAGAAACAATCATAATATCTGCCATTTACTGAATGTGTAACATGTGTCAGGCATTAGACTTGAGATTTGATCTATGTGAAATCATTTCAGAGTGCTAACAGCTATGAGGTGGAGACACTCATTCTCATTTTGCAGACTGGGAGACTGAGACTCAGGGGTTGAATCACCTGCTTGAAATGCAGAAAACAGGGCCGGCGCTGTGGCTCAATAGGCTAATCCTCCACCTTGCGGCGCCGGCACACCGGGTTCTAGTCCCGGTCGGGGCGCCAGATTCTGTCCCGGTTGCCCCTCTTCCAGGCCAGCCCTCTGCTGTGGCCAGGGAGTGCAGTGGAGGATGGCCCAGGTGCTTGGGCCCTGCACCCCATGGGAGACCAGGAAAAGCACCTGGATCCTGGCTCCTGCCATCGGATCAGCGCGGTGCGCCACCTGCAGCGGCGGCCATTGGAGGGTGAACCAACAGCAAAGGAAGACCTTTCTCTCTGTCTCTCTCTCTCACTGTCCACTCTGCCTGTCAAAAATAAAAAAAAAATGCAGAAAACATTAAGTAGAGCTCTCGGGCTCAACTCATGCCTATGTGAGTCTCAGTTTTGTTTTGCAATAGCATTCACAAGTGAACAAGACTGTTTCAATAGAACGATTAGTAGAAAGGAAAAACTTGAATTCTGGGTAGTTTTCACATCACAAAATATTCATCTTTTATCTTCAACTTCTTAAAACTGTATAACCCATTCTTAGGGTATAGAGATCTCACAAAACCAGGGAGTTGAGCTAGGTTTGGTCCAGGGGACCTGGTTTGCCAATTTCTCATCTAATCAGCGAGAGAAACCAATGAGCAAGCAAGCCAATCACAAGACAGGACAAATTTTACAAAAGGGCTGAAACAGAAGTTCTGCAGGGCAGAGGTGGCAATCAGTTATTTTGGAGGTAATTCTGAGGCAATCCTGAAAGACAGAAGCCTGGGTCTTCAGTGGGGCCCCTTGCTTTTGTACTTGTGTGGATTTCCCCAAAGCAAGCAACAGTCTATCCTTTTCCTTAAGTGTTAAATGAGAGGTGGGAAAAACAATTTTAAATAAAGAAGGATAATGGTGGTTTGTAGCCTAATTAAGACGATTTATAACTGTCCAGAAAGGCTCTTTTGTTCCCCCTTGTTTGTTGAGTAACAGCTCCCATCGGCCATTACTGCATATCCAACCCGTGGGAAGTTACCTAGTGGGAATTCTGTTCAAGGATCGCCACAGAAGCTTGTGTCACTCTCCCCACCCCCTTCTGTGCATGTTGCCCAAGATACGTTTCAGGTTAGAGAAGTTCTAGAACTGGTTCCCTGCTGGCTATTGTAGGATCTGTAAGGCTTGGTCTCCATCAAGGCACCTTCCTCCCACAACCTTCCCAGTCCTGGCTGAGAGGTCAGGTTGCCAGGGGCTGCTGGCTAGCATACAGCCAATCACACCATTTCTGCTGACTTTTGAAAGCCAGCCTGATCTTTCTACAGCTGTGGGTGAAGCTCCGGTTTAGAGCAACCTGAAAGAGTTAGGGTAGAGTGCGTTAGGATTGTGAAGGTTCAGTTAGGGAAGTACCGTTTTTCTGTATGTAGGGAACTCATTGGACTACAGGGTGGTACATGCTCCAACTTATCCCTGGCATTGTAAAACCAGGAAAAGTTAGTGTTGGGGCTGTTTTATGGATCCTCTGAAAGCATTCTTCTTCTAGACATTGGTGGTATAACATGGTACCCATGTCCTCTACTTCAACTCCTCCTGTTTAGATCCTGGCCCAAATTTCTCTTTAATCCTTCTAGAAAGATCATCCCATTCCAGAATTAAGAATGAAAAGAAGCCCAGGGAATATGAGACTATCTTAGGAGCAGCATTTTTTTTCCCTGTAAAAGATCAGATGGGAAATATTTCTGGCTTTGCAGGATCTCTGTTGCAACTATTTAACACCTCAGTTCCAGTAAGAAGGTAACCATAGATATGTAAATGAGTGGGCGCAGCTCTATGGCAGTCAGGCTCTACTTACCAAAACAGGTGGCAGGTAGATGGGCCTGTGGGCAATAATTTGGCAATACCTGCTCTTGGCGAACAGAGTATGATTTTCTTGTGGAACATAAAAAAAAAAGATTGTTAGAAACAAAATTAGTTATTTTATTTATTTATTTATTTATTTATTTTTTGACAGGCAGAGTGGACAGTGAGAGAGACAGAGAAAGGTCTTCCTTTTGCCGTTGGTTCACCCTCCAATGGCCGCCGTGGCCGGTGCGCTGCGGCCAGCGCACCGCGCTGATCCGATGGCAGAAGCCAGGAGCCAGGTGCTTTTCCTGGTCTCCCATGGGGTGCAGGGCCCAAGCACCTGGGCCATCCTCCACTGCACTCCCTGGCCACAGCAGAGGGCTGGCCTGGAAGAGGGGCAACCGGGACAGAATCCGGCGCCCCAACCGGGACTAGAACCCGGTGTGCCGGTGCCGCTAGGCGGAGGATTAGCCTGTTGAGCCGTGGCGCCGGCCTCTAACAATCTTAATACCTACTTCCTTAACTGTGCCTAGAACCACTCTGATTATTTCACCACCTCTTACATAAATGAGTTAAACACATTTTTGGCATATGTTCATTCTACATTTGTAAATAATGCTTTAACTTTTACAAATTACACTTCGACAAGCTCATTAGGTTACCACTTATAGCTCTATGGAATAGCAACACCTGGGGCCAGTGCTATGGCATAGCATGTATAATCCCATAAGGGTACTGGTTTGTGTCCCAGCTGCTCTACTTCTGATCCAGCTCCCTTTTAATAGCCTGGGAAAGCAGTGGAAAATGGCCCAAGTGCTTGTAACCCTACCACCTATATAAGAGATATGGATGAAGTTCCTGGCTTTGTCCTGGCCTAGCCCTGGCTGTTGTGGCCATCTGGGGAGGAAGCTAGCAAATGGAAGCTCTCTCTGTAACTGACAAAAATAGCAATACTTGTCATTGAATGAATTAATGCCATGTTCAATACTTATGTGCTTAGAATGCATTTGCCTTTATAACATGCCCATACAGTAGATATTACCCCTACTTTTCAAATAATAAAAACCGAGGCACAGAGCAGTTGAGTAGCTGGTAAATGGTAGAGCTTACATTTAACCCAGAATTGTCCTCACTCCACAGCCTCACAAGAAAGGTTTCTAGTAGGATAAACATCATCAACTTGAAGTTCCTGTAGAACAGGGTTGTAGTTAAGTCTGAATTTCTGATCACAGTCCAGTCCAACCCCCGGCACCTACCATGTGGTTACAGAAGATGCTTACACTCAGACATGTACTCCCTCATGACTAAGATCTTGGGGGGACTGTGACAGTTTCAAATGTATGTATAACTCCCCCCCACAGGTGCATATATGTACTGTTTGTCATGTTTATTATTTTAAGGTGACTTGAAAGACAGTAAAAATAAAACAGAGAAGAAGGACCACTCCACCGTCGGAAATGATTCAAAGAAAACAGATGGTAAGAGTATCACTTCTATTACGTTTTTCCCTAAGATGTAAAGTTAATGCAAGCTAGAACAAATATGGTTAAAAGTCTTATAATCCTGAAAACATAGTTCACATGTAAATGTGGGGAGCAGCTCGGACTAGACTAAGTTACTGGAATTAAGACTTATTCTATGCATCTGCTCTTCCACAATATGGCGCTGGGAGAGAAGAAAACAGCTTTTACACAGCTGCCTCCAGTTCAACCAATAAACTGCAGGACTTGCTCCTGATTGGAGAGCAGCGTACTCGGTGTGTGGGCAGCCGAGTTAGGATTGGCGGAGGAGGACTATAAAGGAGGAGAGAGACGGCATGCACCAGGAACATCTAAGGGGAACATCTAAGGCGAACACCTGTGCAGCCCCCGAGAGAGCCGGCCGGCGGTGTGCCGCTCCCCTGCGGAAGTGGGGAATGTGGCCAGGGGGAACTGCCCTTCCACGGAGGTGGAAGGGATAGTAGCCAACCCGGGAAGAACCAGCAGCAAACCCGGGGAGGGCCGAGCAGACAGAAGAACAGCACAGGGTTTAGTGTCGTTCCTCCACGAAGAGGGGGAGCGACAGTAAAGAGTATTGTTATTTTTTAATGATTTACAATTTTGTCTATTATACTTTCATTACAAATGTTTAATGTTTTTTCTATAATTTTTCCATCTTAAATGTCATTAAAAAGTTCACATTGGACATGCTGGTTTTGATGGAATGGAATAGCACACATCACTAATGTATGAGTTTTTCATTGTTAGTTGTGCAGCATAAGTAGAAAGCATTCAATGTTTTTCACTTTTAATCTTGCATGAGCTATTACTTTTGGTGAAAACAAACCTGTTTGCTATGTTGGGAGACATCCTATATGGTCATAGAATATAGTTGGGCCAGAAAAACAAGTCTTAAGGGCAGTATTATCCATTCCCAAAGTTAGTGTGGCACTACATTGTAATGTGCTTTGTGAACATTGTTTTGTTTTGCATAAATATTCTGTTTTTGAAACTTGAGAGTTCATGACCCTAGTTGAGAAGCCAGTCTTCGCCAATTACACAAACCTCATTGTTTCAGTTATAACATGGGCTCATTCTTAGTTATCCTCCATACATGGACATGGTATTGAGTTATGGTGAAAATTTCCAGGGAGTGCTTTGTTAGAGTCTCTTTGAATTGTGTTTCCCAGGAGACACTTTTTTTTAAACTTTTATTTAATGAATATAAATTTCCAAAGTACAGCTTATGGATTACAATGGCTTTTTTCCCCCCATAACTTCCCTCCCACCTGCAACACTCCCCTCTCCTGCTCTCTCTCCCCTTCCATTCACATCAAGATTCATTTTCAATTATCTTTATATACAGAAGATCATTTAGCATATATTAAGTAAAGCTTTCAACAGTTTGCATCCACACAGAAACACAAAGTGAAAATTCTTTGAGTGGTTTGGGTAAAGTACCATTGATGAACAAATGCTGGGTAATGAGGTTGAGGAGCAGGAAGGATTTGCATACAGCTGCTTACACAACTATTAAAAAGGAAGCCACCCCTTTGGGTTTCAGCTCTAAGCTGTTATGACATTCTTTCTACATGCAGGCATGAAATCACTTTTCCAAACTTTTAAGACCTCTTCAAGTAATGCTCCAGGCGTCTTATATAGTATGTGGGGAACACAAACCTGCAATTTGTCACTAACTTGCTTATACAAATATAAACCACTCACCTAATTAGCATGTCCTCAATGAGTAGTTGTGACTAAAAAGTGAATTAGAGATAAAATGGAATTCCCAGTGGCAATCCCTCTTCTAGTTTCTGTTGTGGGTTGTTCAGATACCAGAGGCTTTCTGCTAGATCTCACTGGACCCAGACCAAGGCAACCTGAGCCAGGAAACGCATGGTAAATGAACGGCATCCGCTAGAAACCCAGCCCCTTAATACCTGCCCCATTCTGCATCCAGCAGCTGGCCGTTGCTCTCCGATTTCTACAGCATAAAAGCCCCGAGTAAATCAAGTCTCAAGTTTTTAATATGGAATCTGGACTCTTGTTGCTTGTTAATGTAGTGCTACCAATAAATGCTGGAATGTTGTCAGGTGGGCATTGTTAAGTTTTAAGACCTTCATAAAGTCCTTTTTATCTGCTCCTTTTAAAGTGAGTTAGTCCTAAGTATTTAAAACCATTAGTTTGAGGCTGGCACCATGGCTCACTAGGCTAATCCTCTGCCTGTAGCGCCGGCACATTGGGTTCTAGTCCCGGTTGCCCCTCTTCCAGGCCCGCTCTCTGCTATGGTCCGGGAGCGCAGTGGAGGATGGCCTAAGTGCTTGGGCCCTGCACCCGCATGGGAGACCAGGAGAAGCACCTGGCCACGGCGGCCATTGGAGGGTGAACCAACAGCAAAGGAAGACCTTTCTCTCTGTCTCTCTCACTGTCCACTCTGCCTGTCTAAATAAATAAAAAAAAACAGTTTGAGAGAATGATGAAGTTGATTCTATTACATGTTCTATTAATAATGTTTATCCTAATTCTCTTACATAAATATTGTTTGGTGAGCAGGATTCTGATTCTTGGTTGGTGTTGGACGGGCTTCAATTAGTGGAGAAACATTCTTGCCTCCCACTCGCTTTCCCCTCCATAACCCACTCTTCTGCTTCCGGGGGCCTGGGCATGGTTTTTAGACTTACATCAACTCTGTGAACCTTACTTGTGAACTAACATGACATCAATCATCACTGGTTTGATGTCAGCAGAACTTAGAGCACTGAGCTTTAGTGACTTGCAGGATTTTGGTCTAAAACCGGTACCAAGACTAAAGTTCTGCCTTTCCCTCTAACTCCGATTTTTCTTTTTAAAGACTAAAGCTAATTCTTGGCAACATGAAGTAGAAAAGAATTTGATCAGTCTCACTTAAATCTCCTTCCTTTTAGGTCATTAAAACTCTTTAAAGAAAAACTTTAAAAAAGGAATGTGCATATTCTGATTGTTTTAAAAACATAGAAATGACCAGATACATTTGCAACATTTCCTTTTAGTGATCCCTGTTATGTCCGATGACCAGGGCAGAGTCAATTTAATTATTTGTAATGTTCCAAATCCAAATCCAAATATCTAACTTTCCTCAATCCAACTTCAGAGTCACTGGTGACTAGCTTTGATTCTTGAGAGGGAGTGTCCTGGTGCAGTGCACACCCAGGGTGCTCTAATTACCCACTGTGGTTTATAGCTATAACAGTGTAAACATTCAGACCAGATTCCCATGCCACCATGACCCCAGCTGGTTATTCCCAACCTCCATGAGCCTGGCCATGCCCAGAGGGAAATAGGGAATGCTTGAAATGGTCAATTCTGTCCTGGCAGAATGAACACATTGCAGTTGCCCATGATCTCTGTGAGCCTACTGAAGCACTGTGTAGCACCCTGCAGCACTCATTTTCCAACCGGCTTCAAAAAATAAGTCAAGAAATAAAAGTTAAAAACATGCAAGTGTTTGAACACTGCAAAGATGCACCATTTTCATATAAGCACATTAGAATATCCTTGACATTATTTGGTAAATTCAAAGTAAAAGCTTAATTAAAAACAGAGTAAGCAAGATAAAGCTCATAAGGTTTTATATTTGTGTATTTGCCCAATTTCTTGCCTCTGTACTTCACTGTGGTTGTTAGAATACACCTTTGTCAGCTAAGAATTGGTCTTTCTTGTAGCCACACTTGAGTATTATTAATAGGGTCATGTTTTCCTCCTTAGGATCTCAATATAGGAAAAATGGAGGCAGCAGTAGAGCCAATATTCTTATTAGATACATGGAAAAACTAGTTGTAATCAAAAGGTTTCTTGTATGTATTAGAAAAATTTGTCTATGATTTTGTTCTTAACGAGCCTGTTATCTTATGCTGACGACTTACTACAGGGCTCACAAGAGTCACCTGGAGAAATGAGCATTTTGTTTTATGTAGAACAGATTTCTAACAAGTTAGTTTGGAATGGAGTACAATGGTCCCTCAGTATTCAAACAGGCTTGGTTCCAGGCCCCCTCTCTGACCCATAGATTACAAAATCCAAGGTTCTCAAGTCTTCTATACAGAATAGTATAGTATTTGCATATAATGTACACATACCCTTCCACATGTTGAATCATTAATTTCATTACATAATACAATGCAAACACCACACACATGGGTATTATATTGCTTAGGGAATAATATAAGACTCGGTCTGTATTCAATACAAATGCAATTTTTCTTCAAGTTTCTTCAATTCATGGTTGAATCCACAGATGCAGAACCTGCATTTATGGAGGATTGATGGTATATGAGTAAATTTGGGATGAATGATTGCGTTTGTTAGGTATCTTGTTTTAATCATTTTCCAAGTTACTGTTCATTGTGTTTTAATGAGAAATGTTCATTGCCTGAAGGCTGGGGAAATCACATCTTTCTCTGCAGTGAGAGATCGATGGGGTCTGGGCAAATGCAGGGGTATACCCTGCTCTACAGATCCAAGGAGGGAGCCAACAGCAGGTTGCAGGTAGAACTAAGACACCTGTAGGTCTTCAGACATTATCTTAGGTTCACGTGCATAGACTTGAGAAACGGGAAGTGTGCTGGCATACTGCATTACCCAGGAGGCAGTGTTCATTGGTTGTACAGGCACTGAGACCATTGTCCATGTTCTCAGCTCCATCAACACCTGTGTTACAATTGTCTCATTTTGGAATCAAAACCTGCCTCATTCTTTCTTCCAAATATTTTCCCCCATGCTACTCAGGATAATAGCCTTAGGCTGTCATATATTAGAACAAGAAACTGCCCCTATTTCAGACTCCCCAAAACCTTTCTTGTGGTTGATGCCTGTTTCTATTACTACATTGTTCCAGTCTCTGCTATTTCTTCCCACAGGACTTCCTGTAGTCACCTGTAGTTGTTCCCTGTGCCTGGCTCCCTGCAGAGTCACAACACTGGAACACACTAATCACCCTGACTACACTCAGACTTGAGTTGGTC